AATTAAGTTTACGTATTTCGACGCTTTTTTGTGGCATTTTGAAACTTAAGATTTTTCCTAAAGTGCTATTGATATATTGATGACGACCAGGAAAAATGTTAAAAGGGCTATGATTTGAGGAAATGTCCGTAGCCTTATTGAAAAAGGGCCCTCAAGTTTATGTAATTTTAAAAACTATTTAAGAAAACTGCCCTTAGAATTTTTAATTCGAATACAAGGACAATCCGGACCGGATCCGGTAATTTGAGAGTAAAAGCAGCATAGACGTTGATTGGCATCAAATCGTTAATTCGGAATTATCTCGCGAATTAACTGCAATTGATCCGAAATAAGTCCTAGAGTTTATTCCCAAAATTAATTCAGTTCAAGGGAATTTTTGGTGACTACGCTGTTGTCTATTGTACAAGTAAGCAAACAAAGCGAGCGGGTTTGGCGTCTGCGGTAGCCGAGTGGTGAGAGCTGCGTACTACAAGTCTGTAGGTCCTAGCATCGATCCTCGGTTAGAGCGATTGCTAAAAAGTTTTGTATTATTATTTATTTTATTTTATCTCATTCATATGATTTTTTTATTTATACATATTTTGTTATTTATAAATTTTATTTTATTTTATTTTATTTTATTTTCTTTTGTTGTATTTTTTTCACATTAGTTATTTTGTTAGTTAATTTAAATTTTTACCACCAAATTCATAAAAAAAGAAGACTTTAACTGTTTTATAAATCGAAAATTTGTATGAAAATGCCAATTTATAAAGCTCTTGAAACCTATCTTATTTTTTATGAATAAAGGCCAGTATTCAGCTCTCAAGAAAAGAAAAAACTCCATATAAAATGACGTACAGGAAATGGCTAAGAAATTTTCTTATGTAAAATTTTCTTGAGGCAGTACGCAGTTCAGTTATCAGTGTGGCTTTAGGCCTGGAAAATCCACCAAAGACCAGATATGCACAATACGTCAAATCTTGGAAAAGTCCCGCGAGCAGAAGATCGACTCACACCATCTATTTGTCGATTTCAAAGCCGCTTTCGACAGCACGAAGAGATGTTGTCTTTATGCCGCGATGTCTGTATTTGGTATCCCCGCGAAACTAATACGGCTGTGTAAAATTACGTTGAGCAATACAATCAGCTCTGTGAGAATTGGGAAGGACCTCTGCGAGGCGTTTGATACCAGACGAGGTTTCAGACAAGGTGACTCCCTTTCGTGTGATTTCTTTAATCTGATGTTGGAGCAGATAATAAGAGCCGCAGAACTGAACCACTCAGGCACAATACTTTGCAATAGCGTACATTTGCTGGCGTATGCCGACGACATCGATATTATCTCGGGATTACATAGAGAGGCAAAGCGAATGGGTCTGGAGGTTAACGAGGACAAAATAGATACTGATGCTTTGTTGTTTGACGTTTTGGAATGCACCCTTACATACATACATACATATGTACATACATACATACATACATATGTTAAAGTGAGTGAAGATAAAACCCTTACAATACTTGAAATCTAAAAGAACCGTTCTTGCAGTGTTTTACGTCTGTATAAAAGCGAATTAAAGATTTAATATTTTTGTCCCACTACTACCTTTCATTTAGATAACTTTGGTGTCGGAAATTTAGCGGGGAGATTACAAAGGTGGCAGCAAGCACAATTAATCGCACGATATGAATGGCTTTTCAATTTTAGGGTTGCAGATTTTTTATTTTTTAACCAAAGAAAGCCTGCTACATAAAGAGAGATGTTCAACCGTGATATGTAACAATCTCAGTTTGCAAACCTGCATCGTGTTTGGGGCATACCGCAGTGTATCGTACCATACCAGTTTGAGGGCTTTGCTTCTTATAGACTGCTTTCACACAGTTCAAGTATTGAATTAAATTCTCGCATGTGAAAGAGAGGAGGTGAGGAGAAAAGGCGCGAGTACACATGCGTCTGTACCGTCAAGTCGTTTCAACTTTCTTAACACTTTTTTTGACATTTTCTTTGTTTCCCATTTAAAGAACCAAAAACTTGAAATAAACAGAATGGAAGCGTGTAAAAGCGAATAGAATACACAAAAGAGAATGGGCAAGAATTACTTTCAAGTACTTGAATCATGTAAATTGGGTAATAGTTATCGCATCAAATACTATATCAAATCGCATAGGTAGTATCGCATCTGCTTGATTATTCCACTGCAGGTCCCGTTGCCGTTTTCTAATTTCCCTCAATTACGAACTAAAATCTTTTTGGTTACACTTTCCGTCAGTGCATAAGTCTGGCAACACTAGTATATTGATAAGAAACGTGCTGTTCAGAATTCAACAGCTGTTTGCTGATCAAAAGTGACCAACTTTTGTACCTTGCGCTTTTTGTTTCCGGAGTAAATCGCAGATTGTACTTGTATCTTAAGAAAGTAACTGTTTGTTTCTTATTAATATGTCTGTAAGTTTACGTTTCGCCACGAAGTCACTATCTACGCTATTGCCTCGCTGTATGGGCGTGGGAGTACCTCACCAAACAAGGGGAGCCGCATACTACCCAATTAACGACAAGTTCTTTGGCCTGAATGAGGAGCAACAAAAATTGCGGGAGATTGCATTCAATTTCTTCCAAAAAGAACTGGCTCCATATGCTAAAGAAATCGACAAAAATGACAATTTCAAGTAAGGAATTCAATCAAGTGTGCTATGTACATACATAAATACATACATACATACATATACAATGTATGTTATACCATTTTACGTTAATGTTAATTTTTTTATGCCTGCTTAGAGATCTGCGGACATTTTGGAAAAAGATGGGAGATCTAGGCTTTCTGGGTATTACAGCTGAACCGGATTTCGGAGGCACAGGTGGCACTTACCTGGATCACTGCATTATCATGGAAGAAATCTCTCGGTAAACACACGCACACATATAAATATTCATTGCATATTCAATTTATTAATAACACTTTTGGGTGGGGCTCTGATTATTGTCGCTTAGTTGAGGCTGGTACAAAAAAGTTAAAGGGCGTGGCACATCCCACCTTTCCAATTTAAAAAGGCCAACACTAAGCCTCTTACAACCTCAAGGAGTCTCATGAAAATAAGGAAAAAACCAGTACTTAAGAATGGAGAATTCTGTTGATTGAGGGTTGTGATCCTAAAGCGGCACCCCGTAGTCAGAAGAGAAAGAAAGATCGGTGAATTCTTTGGTCTTTGCACTATCAAGTTGGAAAGGTGGGAGGTGTCACACCCCCCTTAATTTTTTCTATACCAGCCTCGAACTAATGGACGATATTTCTCACACTTTTTTTTACAAATTAAGTGCCGCAGGTGGTATCGCCTTGTCCTACGGTGCACACTCGAACCTTTGCGTGAATCAACTCACCAAAAATGGCACAGTTGAACAGAAGGAAAAATACCTGCCAAAGCTATGCAATGGAGAGCATATCGGAGGCTTGGCCATGTCTGAGCCGGGCTCGGGTTCCGATGTGGTATCTATGAAACTGCGTGCGGAGAAAAAAGGCGACTATTACGTACTCAACGGTACCAAATTTTGGATCACCAATGGTTCTGACGCCGACACCTTGATAGTGTATGCCAAGACTGACAGTGGTGTTGCCGATAAGCATGCTATAACTGCGTTCATTATTGAGACAGCATGGGAGGGCTTCAGTGTGGCGCAAAAACTCGATAAGCTGGGAATGCGTGGCAGTAGCACGTGTGAATTGGTGTTCCAGGATCTAAAGGTGCCGGCCAAAAATATATTGGGAAATGAAAACAAAGGCGTATACGTGCTGATGTCTGGCTTGGACTATGAGCGCCTGGTGCTGGCTGCCGGACCAGTGGGCCTTATGCAAGCTGCTGTTGACATCTCCTTCGACTATGCCCATCAACGTAAACAAAAGGGTCAACTTATCGGCGAGTTTCAGCTGATACAGGGCAAAATGGCTGATATGTATACCACATTGAGCGCTTGCCGGTCGTACTTGTACGCTGTTGCGCAATCCGCAGTCGCTGGTGAAAGTAGTCCGAAAGATTGTGCTGGGGTAATTTTATACTGTGCCGAGAAGGCAACACAAGTGGCATTGGATGCCATTCAAATACTTGGTGGCAATGGGTATATAAATGAATATCCGACGGGACGAATATTGCGTGATGCAAAATTGTACGAAATCGGTGCTGGTACCTCAGAGATTCGTCGTTGGCTAATTGGACGTCAATTAAATCAGGAATATAAGTAGACGACGAGATGTAATAAACGGGCTGTGATCTGTGCCTGTAGAGAGAATCGATATACACTAACGAACAGACTTCTTGCTGCATTTATTTTTATTTTTTTTAACGTTTAAGTACACGTACATACATATGGTTTAAATGATGATATTTTAATAAAGGGCTATTTGTAATTGATTTTTCAGAAATCCACACTTCTAACTTAATTTCAAGGGTAAAACATGGATTGGGTGTTAGAAAAAATCAGCCTCATTGAGAGAGTCGAATCGTATCGAAAATTTCCAATCATTCCAATTATTCGACAATTTTCGTCGTTTACTTATTTCAGCACGACAATAGACAATGCCAATGTTGTCGAGTCGTACAATTTATAGCCTAATTCACGACTTGCGCAATGAGGCTAAATATTTTCAGTTCCATAGCAAACCCCGAATCGCTATTTGATCAGTCGGTTTACGCACACAAAGGAAGCGGTGACGAGTCGTGCAGAGCGATGCTTTGAAATTTGCGGTCTCCACCCAGCTCCGCCTTTCTTAGCTCGACTCCGGAACGATCCATATTTTTATTTGTCCCGGGAGAAAGATTATAATTATTTGCCCAAGTGATTAATTAATAATTAATTTTATTTTATTTTATTCATTGTACATAAAAAATACACGAAAAACGAAAATTTATGCAAAAGTATACGCACATATGTACAAAACAGGTAATATTGCATTTAGCAAAATGTAATAAAATCAAGTACACATTTTTTGATCTGGCTTGATGAGTAAAAAACATAAAGGCTTCAGAAATAATAATTGCGTACAGTTATTAAAAAATTAATCACGATCGATAAAAAGCTATTTTATAATAATTTGGATACCACAAAGCGTGATGGTCAATAAATAATTTAAAATAAAGGACCAACTCCAACTCTTCTCATTTATGTTTATTTTTTTTTTTTGTATTTCGCTTTTAATCGTTATTTTAATACCGTTAATAGTGTTATTTTAATTATTTATTATGCAATTACAGGGCAACATGTTGGCAAACATTTTAATTCTGGCTGAAAATCGTTGTAAACTTTTGTTATATAATTAAAATGTTATATAAATACACATTTCTACATTTAAACAAATACATCAAAAATACAGCGACTACTGGACATACAAATTGAACTATTCGAACACCAAATCGGAGTAGTTTTATTTGTTTTTGTGTGTTTTTTTTGCTTGCAAGTATTTGGCTGCGACATAAAAAACGGCGGCGAACATTTTAAAACTCCAATTAATATTTACTAATATCTAGACATTATTATAGATTATTATACATACATAAATTAGTTCAGTTAAAAGCACTTTTGACAATTTTTTTTTTGTTTTCAAGCGCCCTTAGTGGCGCAGTGGCATTCTATAAGCAAACTTCGAGGCAAAGCTTCGGCTGCTGCTGACACACCGCAGAGGATAGCACCAACATGCTTGCCATTTTAGTTATATTTACATACATACATGTAAATGTAGTTATGCGTATGTATTTTTTTTTTGTATTCGAATCTAAAACTAATCTACTCCATGCGAAAACTGTGTGTCTTCTTTTCCGAATGCATCTCGGTAGTGCTGCTAAAAGTTTTGCGTTCCATTACACGTTGCGTCATCGACGTCAACCTTTCGGAGCCCTGATCAATTATGCTGACTTTACCGCCATCGGTGCTAAGTGTCATTTGTGAGAAGCTCGAATCCAAGGGTTTATCCACCATTTCATCGCTCTGCTCGAAATTGCGAGTTTCATAACTGAAAATAGGAAAGGTGATGTTAATTTGGCAAAGGGAAACAGTACACATGGCAAGTAGGATTTCAACAATAGAGCTGTCCTACTATATACAAGTAAATTATTATTTCTGTTCACCTAAACTAACTATATACAGTACAAATTGAAAATCCATTGAATAATCTAATCAAAATCTCTAAACTTTGTACAAAACTCAGGATAATTCAATAAATTTGCAACTTTCTATTAAAATTTCTTAGAAAAATTCTAAGTATGTAGCCCATTCAGTTTTAGTACCATCTTCTGGCCGTCGCGGACTCTTGCTCTATTTGCAGGTATTAAGAAAAATTCTCTGTGCCAATACTTCTGCCCGGGACTAAATATTTGAATTTAAGAGGAACCTAATTTTTACTATGTTTTATTAACTAACTTTTTAAATTAGAAAGCCACCATATTGGACCCATCATTTAAAATATTTAAAACCTGGGCCCGAATCGCGGCATTCGATATTGAACATAACTCGTATCGAAATTTAATTTTGAGATCACCGCATTCGATAGCGAACGCGCTTCGTCAATTTGAATTTTATTGTTTAAAAAACAGCGGCCATTTTTTTCGATTCGATTCGAAATGAGTAATCAATATTGGTCACGAATACCGCGATTCGGGCCCTGCTTTCAGATTCGTAATCAGCTACGAAAAAAATCCTAAATACTACCAAAACCCGCCGAATAGGGCTGTGCGATTAACTGATTACTCTAAATTTTAATTAATCATAAAGTGAATAGCTCAATTTCGGATTTTCGGGATTGTGATAAAATCTCGGGATCCCGGGATTTAGATATTCAATACTTTTCAACAACTTGAATCGAAAAAATTGCTTCCATATTGTTTGAGATGCTCTTCTACCATAAAATAAATAATAAATAAATGGGTTTGAATCCTACTTTCTTATTTAAAGTGGCGTTTTTATTTTTTCTCTCTGACGTCAGGATTTATTTTAAAGGACTTTGTAATTTCAAAAATATGATTAATTTCAAAAATTATTAAAAAAATTCAATGCAATGTAGCATAAAACTATGGGTACCAAATTAAAGACACAATTTTTTTTTAGAATTTAAAATACATAATTAAATTTTTTGGATTCACAAGGACGAATAGGTAATTTTTTAAGCTGATAAAGTTAAAAGGACGAAATTCGAGGATGTTATCGAGTTTATATAAGTCCTTAACATATAGCTTTTTCAAAAACAAATATTGCGAAATTTCAATGATACAATTTTTAAAGGACATTTTCAATACCTACCAGTTCTTCTGCACCAAAAACTTGAATCTGCTGAAATTCTACAGGATTTCCTCTTTAATTTGATACCCAGACTTCTTCTCTTAGCACATTTCTCTGAATTTTTACTGACTTCAGAGTGAAAAACTAAAAACGCAATTTTACTATATTTGGCCCATGCTTTCGCGAATATACATATTGATATTTGTGTTTAAAATTTACTATCGCGCAGTGTTATATGTATAATGAGCTAGACATTTGTAAAAAAATATTAATTATTAAATAAAAAAATTAATATAAAAACCCCAGGATTATTTGATTTTTGGGACCTTAGAAAGGCCGGTATCCCGGAATTAATATTCCTAGTTCTAATTCAAGCGATTATTTAACTGATTTCCTTAAAACTTTGCATACAAATAAGGTACACCTCTAATTTACAAACGGCGTTTTTTTAACAACTAACTGTATCACTGTATGTACGCACCTGGAGGTGTAACCTTCATAGTTTTGACCAGGGTATGCCCCACCGCCGGTAATCTGCACTACACCGCCTTGGCCGAATGTTTTGTCGTGTAAATCTTTTACACAGGCTTCTAGCTTCCGATTGACAGCGGTCGATTTCTGAGTGGTTGACTGCGATGTGGGTAGCGCCGATTGATGGGCGTTTGTGGCCGATGTTGTTGTTGCATTTTCAAAAGATTGTTGCTGGTAATTACTGACATTCGCTACGGGACTGGGTGATTGAGTGTATTTAGCGCTACCACCACCGTTAGTACCTAGTAAGCTGCTGCTGCTGCTGACGCCACCTGCACTACCGGTGTAGGGGCGTGGCACCGCATTGGCTGTTAGTTTTGGGTTAGGTCTAAAGGAACTGCCGGCACCGCTGCCCGATGCCGTGGCTGTTTGCATGTTGTATAGAGTCGTCGATAGTGGCGGCGGTGGCGGTGGCAGCTCAATGCTGCCGTTCACTTCAGCGCCGCTGGAATATTGATGGCTCATGGGCGGCGGCGGCGGTGATACAGCAGCTGGATGGTGGAAGTGTTGTGGGTGTGTTGCGTAGTTGTAATGATGCTTGCCTTGCTGCTGCTGCTGACTGTAATAGCTCGGTGAGGTGGGCGGCACTTCCGAAGGGTAGCCCGAACGATTTAGTGTCTACAGGTTAGATGGCGGAGTTAAAATGATTTTGAATTAGTAAAAATGGATATTAGTTGGTGCAATGTGTTTGTATCAGAGATCGCAAATGACAGTTATCACTATCAAGTATTCACAAAATAACAGTTATCCTATGTAGGAGACAGATAGCAGTGTTCATTATAAACAAGTAATTTTTAAGCAAAAAAACAAAACCGACTTCAATTCTCATATACAAATTTAAGAGTACCATTAATTTCTTCATGATATAATGACCACATCTAGATCGAGTAAGTATGGAACCACCACTTTCATTTAAAAAAATTAGAGAAATCGGTTAACGTGGTCCAAAGTTATGCAAGGTTATATATTCATACAAAAAAAAAATTTATGACCTCGTTCTTTTTTTGAAGTCGGTTAATAAATAAATTAACAGTATCAGGTATAAGAGAAGAAATATGGAATCCTCACTGAGGAAAATTACAGATGTAAAATCAAAATGTTTTTTTTTTATTTAAAAACATTTACGTATTAGCGTAAGGGCCAAGTTTTTCAGTTTGTCGCTTAAACGAAATTAAAACTCAGTGTGCAGTTTTTCAGTCAAATTTTAATCTAGTTTAAACAAACGCCCAATCTGGCTGGGTGAAACCGAATTTAAACTATCTGTTAAGTTGTATATTTGTAGTCACCTGTCAAAATTTAGATGAAAAAGGATAAAAAAATTAAGATTGTTTGCGAAGTACACGAAAACAGACTCTTTTGTATAGCGGCACCTTCATGAATAAACGAAATTTTCATACGTAAAATAAAAATTGTGCACAAGAAAATTAACAAACGCAACTTGAGTTGGAGTTTACTTGCAATTTGGCCGGGCAACACATGCAGCACCTAACAAATTCTTTAGATTTCCGTCTATAATCTTTCAGAACTTGAAATGCAATCGTATCAAAAGTGAAAATAAACAGTGTTGCCCTTCAAAACAACTAAACTACGAAGCGGCCTTAAACTCGTACTGAAAAACTGGGCAGTAGTTTAAGCTTAGTTTAAATTTAAACTGAGTTTAACTGAACTTAGTTTAAACTGAGTTTAAACCAGCACTGAAAAACTGGCCCTAAGTATGTATGTAGTTAGTTTTAGTATGAGAAGCTAATGCTAATGTTTTTAGTTAACAACAAAAAAATTTGCAATATTTTATAGATTTTGTAACGTTTCTCAGAAAAGATAGGAGTATAGAGAACATATCAGATTTATATACATATTTATGTATATCTTGATATGAATAAATCAAATACCCTATCGAGGAGCACTAAGTTTATAATAAAAGCACAAAAAATTTGTAAACTTGATACATTCTTTTACGAGCTTAGCCGGTAATTTTTAAGTTATTTATAAAAATTAAAGTTGAAATTTTCATATACTTTTGGACATGAAAGATCCCGAAAGACCCAAAAAAACTGAAAAAACACGACAATGTCTCGAAAGTTCTCGAAATAAGACATAATAGGCGGCATACACGGTGCGTCTGACTCGCGAGTCATTTGTGTACGTGTTGACTCGTCTTCGACTACACAGTTGAATCATTCAAAGTCATGGAGACTAACACATATTTATTTTCACAAACACATCCAAACCGACTCACGAGTCTGTGTTCATGCCGCCTATAAACGACTTCAAAATGCGTCGAAACCCTGTCAAATGTCAAAGAATAAAACACGAAAAGAAAAAAAAGAAATACCGAAAAGTATTGGGGAAAATGGGCTGAAAAAATAGCACGAAGAATCATGCAATAAGCGCAAATTCGAATGATGTCTTTGAGAAACGGGTAAAAAGTTGTCCGCATGTTTTATATTTTTATTTGAATATCTAAAAATTTATTTTTAATTATTGTAGTTATTATGATAAAAGTTTTTCAGAACATTCTGGGTATTCACACTGCCGCACTGTAAAACAACAGACAAATGCATATTGCACAATGAGAAACCATTTTCCCATTAAAAAGAGAGAAAGAGATTTTTAACTGGTTAACTGTTACATACATATTTGCGATCTCTGGAGTGTATTAAACCATAAAATAAAAGCTATTAATCTAAATGTAGCTATGTGCTAATCAGGAATGAAATGCAATCTAACTACGGCGAGCAACACACTTTCTTCGATATCAATTTTCGCCAATTTATTTTTTTATTTATAGGAGTATCTTTCCACTTTGAATTTAAAGTAATATTTATGCTCTTCCTTTAATTTTGTGCCAGTGTGTTGTCCACTTTTTCATTGAGCGTTTCTTCCTCAATGGGCTGCTACATCAATAGATATGTATGTGTACGTGCATGCATACATATAAGTATAAAATAGAGGTAAAAAATAAGGGCAATTGAAAGTGAATTCATACATTATTTTGACTTTTCTGCAGTGTTCCATAGGTGGAATTCGCGTACTCCGTGTCGCTTTCGTCCGTACCGAATCCTTGCCCCTTCTTCTGCAGCGCTCGCGCATGCCTAATGGTAATGAGCTTTTGTCGCGCCTCTTCTAATTGCTTCTCCATTCGCAGCACATCGGATCGCGCGTTAATTTCCTGTGCCATGCCATCAACCATCGATGTATTGATTTTCAGCGTTTTCTCCTCTTCATCTTCGAGACCCTGTTGGGCTGCGCGCACCAAATTCTCCGTGGACTTTATAACCTGATTGCCAGCGGCTTGTAGACGGCGTCCTGCCTCCGAGTTCGGATTTGACTTCACTTTGCATGCGATGAGCAGCTGAGCTGTTGATGCGGCTACTTGCTTGGCTGTGGAAATCAACATCTCTTCAGTGCCCACTCCACGCACCAAATTCTGTGCAGCCTCAACGAGGCTGTGCGTAGCTGCAGCGACAAGACGAGCAGCAGATATCAGACCCTCAGACCATTGTCCATCATCCGATGAGGTCAGTGGACGTCGTGCCACTTTGCCCTGATCGATCAATTCACGTTGAGCGGCATTGGCAGCGCGCACCAACGCCGAAGAGGCTGCCATGATGCCCTTCGCTGCCTCCAGGATCATTTCATCGAACTTCATATTCTCATCCAATTCAATCTGTAAATAGGTAAATTATTCAAATCAGATATTCACCAGGGGCTTAATAAACTTGTATGTTAAGCAAAGTTGTTTCAAAGCTGCTTTAAATTTATTAAAAGCTTTTATTTTATACAACATTTAATGTTTTTTTTTTTAGTAGCATATTAATAATCGCAGTAATAATATGTTTGATTCCTGGGTGAACCTTTTAATGCAACAACCAAGAATATCAAACATATCTGACTGGAACTATTAGCGTTTAGTAAGGGGGGGCAAACACAGTACAAATCCACACACCATAATTTTATTTTTGTTACACAAGCGAAGGAGAGTTACGATAATTTATTTCCCAACTAAGCGATTTAGTCAACCCATCACCAAAGCACAGTTAATTAATTGCATTTAATTTGTTTAGTTTTCAAGTTAATTTTTGCACTTAAATATTTAGTTAGTCACGTCAGTAATCCAGCACCAGATAGCTTTAAGCCCTTACCTTTACATCCGGTTGACGCCGCGGACGCAGCGATGCTAATTTCTTAGCAGCCGCATCAATGGATGCTGCAGCACCCAATAATTCGTTTTCAGCAATCACTGTCGGATCTTCGGGATCAATCCAGTCGGAACCCTTCAACAAGCGTGCCATCGCAACCAGATCGGTAACACTTTTGGCAACGCGACGCGACAAATGCACCCGATCGTCGGCTGAACAATTGTGCAGAATACCATTCAAAAGTTCGCGATAGGACTCGCCAACAGCGGCACCCGCTTCGAGTGTACGCTGACGCAATTCCTCAGTTTCTGCACAATTCCAAGCGACCGAGCGACAAATCAGCAGCATTTCCGAAATGGCGCGTCTGCCCAGATTGGCGGCGGCTACAATGTCGGCTTGCAGATTGGAAGCACCAGCGGCCACTGCCTTGGCGGTTGCCAATGTCACATTCTTCGTGACGCGTATCAAATCTTCAGGACCGCATTGTGCGCTGCCAGGTGGAGGTGGTGAGTGAATAGCCTGTAAGCATAAAAGAAATGAATAGTTTTCAATATAGTATAGCATGCGAACGTGTCTGTTAAACTTACGCGTATCTCCTGTGAAATGGCTTCAACGGTGGATTCCATGGCACGCGTACCACGTGTGTGCTCATCCTCAACAGCTTTTACGGTCTTTAGCAACGAAGACACATTTAGCACCATTACCTGGAGAAGGCGGAAAGATAGAATGACCTATTAGAGAGAGCTAGAGCTAATACATGTAGGGAAAGATACTGGTTTTTTTTCGATATTTAATAAATCCTCTTTGAACACCTCAGGGTAACAACATTTTTTTTTTTTATAAAGGCTATGGCACTTCATTTTTAAAATACCTTAATGACGAAAATCCATTGCTAAATTTTGAAGAATTAGACAAATTTCATCACTTAGACAAATCTAAATTAAGAGAGCAGAACTCTCCGAATTCCTTTATAAAAGAGTTATATTTCTTTTTATTAGTTGAATGATATTTTTTTTTTTAATTTTATAATTAAATTGTTTTTGTTAAATTAATGATATATGGTTTTGACAATAAAAAACTTAGCGATATGAATTTGAAATTGCAGATGCTGGAGTATGCTATTTGATGACTTCATTAAAAAGGCTTTCTTCGTTTACGTTGCCCGTTCAATGTGTTGGTTAAAAACACTTTCTTAACTGAAGCCATTTTTTTTATAAAAAAAAAAAAATTTCACAAAAAACTCCCGAGTTCTTTTGTTGAGTACAAGTTTTAGGCTTTCTTGGAATGAATGGTGCTTGCTTGATCCATTTCCAGAAAGAAAAGAATCGTAAAAAAAGGCTTGGTGCACATTGTCTTAGATTTTATTAAAGTACATATTTGCGCACTTCAATCTAAGCCTTTTCGTTGCTTTAAAAGCACAACTCCGGGTGTCATATTCTTTACACTGTTCGAAAAGAATAACCACTCACTATGTAGTTCGAGCATTTCGTGCGAAAAATGGTAAATACCTTCTAAAAAAATGGCCCAAGCGATTGCCAACAATTGCAAAACGTATTTTAATACGATTTTAAATTTTAGCTACATAAATCTAAATCGAAATCATTACTAGAGTCTGTAAACTGCTGCCCTTACGAGATAAACAGGTTCGGACCACCTCTAAGCACTCGTCTAAAGCAGCCGTTAATTACATTTATGTGTACAAATATCAATGAGGACATTTAAAGCCTATGGTGGGTACTTTGCAAGTGTGTGAGTTCGTGTTTGTACTAATAAACAGTGTAGATTTCGCGACACCTACTGAAGGTAGCACAGTGTTTAATAGAATTATACATTCAATAATTTTTAAAACATTATCACCACCGTTCGATGAAAAGCAATTCTAGGTGTCAACTAATTTTACTTTTTTTGAGTGCACACTAAAGCTGAACAAGTCTCCAAAAACAAATATTAACATACATACATAAAGGCCGCCGGAGAACGCGCAAAGTAACTCGCATACAACAGCATCCGCAATTTCTTACAAAGCCGAAAAAAGTATGGATGCTTTAAAAATTATTATTAGTATCCTCTAAGTATTATGTCTATAAAGTGTTAAGTGTCTCCAGTCGTTTTGTGTTAAGCATTAAATTTTAATTTTGCGGTGCTAATAATTTTTTATTTTTTTTTATTTATTGACTCCTAGCGCTACAGCTGGCGCGGTTGAGTGTTGTGAGATGAAATCGTCGCGGATGTGTTGAGCAGCGAGAATGGTGCGCGCTTTAACTTGCTTTAACTTGCTTGTTGATGGCGGCGTTCTAAGCGCTAAGGATTCCATAACTTATGTGTGACTGGCGATATAGATGGCGCTGGCCATTCATGTTAGTACCAGCAGCTGCGGCAGCAGATGTGCACATTTCTTTAAGCGTCTGCGTTTTACCCCCCAGGGCATTNTTTTTTTTTTTGTTTTTGTTCATACAGGACAAATGGGCAGACGAACAAGTGACACAAGTACAATGTAATGGAAGAAGAGAAAAGAGATAAGACAATGACAGTATGCGGATAAGACTTGTATGCATGTTTGTATTATTTTTGTTTTGTGTTATCAGTAGCGTTTTGCCATGGCTTAAAGCGTTAAACGAGATAGACGAATAGGTTTTAAATGTGCTTTGTGCGTATTAGAAACCAACAGCGAAGAACATTTATACAACTATTACCAGAAATTGAGAGGAGCTTGAGCAGCATAGATGTAGAGGTAGAGAGCAAAGAGCGTGCAAACAAGCGAGTGGCAGAGGCGTGCAGGATGTGCTGCACGAAGAAAAAGTTGGTTTGAGCTACGCTGCAGCGAGCCGTAAGCGAGCCGTAAGCGAGCTTTGTTAGAACCATTTGTTACCAGCGGTCTGCGGTAGTACAACGAAGAGTGTTTATGTGTTTTTTTTTTCTGACATGTATGTATGTATGTGTTAAGCAGGGACCAAAAATAACTGTTATCTCGAATTTACAAATTGAAAACGTTGCCCGAATTCTGAAATTTGGCGAAAGCGTTGTTTCATAATGGTTATTACATGGAAAATATTTTTTTATTTCGCCGATAAGAGTTATAACGCAAGGTTTATTTTTTTTTACGTTGTTTGATAACAGTTATTGCCCAAGGTTTATTTTTTTACGTTGTTTGATAACAGTTATTGTCCAAGGTTTATTTTTTACGTTGCTTGATAACAGTTATTGTCCAACGTTTATTTTTTACGTTGTCTGATAAACGTTGTAAGATAGGAATAATGACGAAAATGGAGGTGGAGAAGAAGACGAAAGATGGTGAAAATAAAAGTGGAGTAGTGAAATAACTGTTATCAGACCACGTAAAAATAAACTTTGGTTAATAACTGTTATCAAGCAAAGTAAATAATACATGTTGAGAAATAACTGTTATCAAGCAACGTAAAAAATAAACGTTGGGCAATAACTCTTATTGGCGACGGAAAACATATTTCTCCTGCATAACAGTTCATCAGGCAACGTAAAAACTAAACGTTGGGTTATAACTCTTGTCGGCGAAGTTAAAAATATTTCTCATCTAATAACTGTTATGTCCCTGGTGTTAAGTGATCGTTGCATTCATTTTTACACCACCAATTATGTAAGTATTATGTTATGAGTTGCACAGGAGCCACAAGGTGAAAGCATTATAGTCTTTAAACAGTTGATTTTTGTAAAATAAAAATTATTCTGCTACGATTTTATTCGTGGAGCTATACATATTACTCATTTGCTAAACGACTGTCACAACTTAAAAATAAAAAAAATAAAAAATTGATGCATGCTCTATTCTCACGCGGATATTATGCAAGCATGATATAATAAGTTACTCAGCGTTATTGGCTCAAAAATTCCGTTTTTTGAGTTGTGGCAGTTTTTTCATTAAATGAGCCATTTGTACATTTTGAATGAGAATATATTTGCAGTACATATATGTATATGCAGAAGCGAGTCAGTATGCTCCTTCCATCTTTGCTACATATCTACATACATATAAACTTATAACTTTAGGATAAAATGAAGTGCCAAAGCCGCATTGTCTACATAAACGATGATGAAGTAGTTAAATATGATTTGTAATGTTTAATGAATGAAAGTGTACACATACATATAAACATTTGCAATTACAATAAACAAATACTTCCGAGGAAATGTGCCCAGATGTGCGCTGAAGTGCCCGATTTATATTTGAATACAAATTATCAAGTGCGAGTCCCCCTTTTTTTGGGGTGTTCGATTATTCTCCTTGTGTCTAAATGGTGCTGCGAAAAAATCGGTTACCATTTTTGTAATTGTGAAAAACCGATTAAACCGGTTATATTGTGAATATTCAACCGAAGCCCGGTTAAAGCGAGCAAGAAAAATATTAGCTATGTTTTCGTATTTTTCAGTAAAACTAAAAAAAAAATGTAGTAACTTGCCAGTTGCCAAATTTCTCTTTTCGAGTTTTTATTAATTTCCATTGGTTTACTAAAAGGACTTTGAAATTAAATATTAGAATAGAAATACTCAACTCCTCACTGGAACCGCATATAAAAGATCTTTTTCATCCCCCAGTAACCGGCTATGGAGGTCCGCCTTAAGGCAAGTACTGATTTCAATTCGTACGAATTTCGGAGGAGGCTTTCCTAGTTAGATACTCAATGGCAAAAAAATCTGTATTCAACATTCTATCCTCCTATTCCTTAATTCATAGCTCCCTACCTTGACACTCAACGATACCAAAGGTGAAATTTTTAATGACACATGCAATAAAAATTAAGGAGTCCAAAGTACCAAAAAATATACATTGCTACTTATGAATTAGATATTCTGTTAGGAAACATGGCATTTGCAAGATCTTCTGTGATTTCAGAAAGTCGAAGTTTATACAACAATAAATATATTGTCACAAAAATTAATGAGTAAGATACCAAAAATTAGAAGCACCACACAACAACTAAAGCTTTGAAATCAGCCTGACAAATAATTATTTTGAATTGAATTCTGTATATCGGTGTTTAAACGAGAATAATGTGAAAAAACATTTCTTTACAATTTACAATACTAAATAAAGATGGCAGCATGAAACTCCACTTACCCTAGCACTCTCCTTCAAATCTTGCATCGATGGGTCATGTATGGGTTTGCCAGATGCCAATTTGGTGGCGTTAATCAAGTCGCCCAAGGCGGAGGCTACATCTTTCACGGCATTGATTACCATAACTTGGGAATCTGGTTGTGTCGAGCCAAGGCTGCAAGCGCCACGTTTAACAGCTTCAGCAAGTTGCACTAGAGTCAAATCATATATGTACATAAATAGGTTAGTGTGTTTCTAATGCCGGATTTCCAATAGGCCTAGATGACAATGAATTGAATGAAAAATTTTGTTTACCACCTCTAAATGATATGTGGAAAGTCTGATGACAATTAAATTTATATAATTTTTTAATGCACAACTTCTTTGTCATTTAGAGCACTGTGAAAATCCAGCATAAGAATGTACATAAATAAATACAACTCAGCCCGCGCAGCGAACTTACGTATAGTTGAAACGGCATTCTGTGCGGCGTTCGCCAACTCGTCTTGTGTGCCAGCCGCGCCAGTGACTAGCACTTTCGTGTCTTCCACAAGCGCCTTGGCGGTCTGCAAAATGTGTTCGCGATGGTCTGCGAATGTGCCATCGCCATCCGAATGCAAAGTACCGGCGGTAGCAAACATGATGGTCGTATCGAGGTCGCCAATAATGCCCGAAACTGTGTGCGCGGCATTGATACAAGCTTGGGTGCCACGCGAACCGGCTTGCAGCGCAGCCAAAACTTGTGCTACCTTCTCAGAGACGTCGCGTGCATTGCGAGAGATTTCATGCTGGGTGGAGGTGTCATTGGGGCGGGCGCCAGCAGCACCTGATTGTATCATGGAGCTCACGGACCCACCCAAATCAACGACAGTCGAGCGAATGCGCATGGCTACATCCGGTGTCGATGTTGTGGTGGATGCACCTACCGAATCCTGTGTGATTTGCGTGTAATGCTGCGTCATTTCCAGGGCAAGTTGCGGCAGTAGCTGGGGTTCAATGGTTGCTTTGCGTTCATCTCGTTGGCCAGGCGGGCGATCTCCTTGGCTGACTGCACCATGCGTGTTTGGTAATCGACAAATGAGTCCGAGTACGAGGCATTGAGCAGCGATTGACGCTTGTCGGTCAGGCGCGTAATGGCACGATTCACTTGCTCCATCAGACCAGTTACCACACCCATTTCGGCGTTGATCTTTTCCACTGTCTCCGTGAGTTCCTGTATGGCTTGACGCGTGTAATCGATGGACTCGTCCAAGTGCGAATGGGCGTGCGTAGAGCGCGGATTGCCGGCGGAGTCCTTGGCTGCTTGTACAAGTGTTACGGCGCTCTCCACAACCGACTTTGTTTGGTTGATGAGGCTCATTTGCTGATTGGTGTGGACGATGTGGGTGCAAGCACCAATCGCACCATTCACCATTGGCACAATATAGCGCGAGATCTCGCCGACAGCATGGCCAAGTTGTTCTGCATTATTTTTGCCAGCCATGCGTATGGGCTCAAGCTTGTCAATTAGCTCAGCGGCAGAGTTCAATGTCTGGCCACTGAATCCGTGCAAATTATTGTCGCGGCGTTGACTCAATCCCTGAGCGCTCACCGCCATGGCACAGCTGTCCAATTCACGGGTGCACGTATTCAGTGTGTGCAAGACTTGCTCGCATTGTGCCTGACCGGGTGCCTTTTCGCGGATGTTGTCTACCAAACGCTTCACCGATTCGGAAACGGGAGCTGAAGCATTTGAGAGCTGTTGCCACACTGGCGGATCGTCGGGTGAGAGTGCCAATGACTTAGCAGCCTTCACCATTTCGATGACACCATCGATAACACCGCGTCCTGCGTTAATGACTGGTTCTTGAGCCTTGCGTCCCTCAGCGGAAATTTTCGCCGGCACAGAGATGAATTCCGGGCTGGAAGCATATTGCCGAACGGCTTTCACAGATTCTAGCAATGGCTCCACGAGACGAGCGCGTGTCGGAGTCGAAGGCTCATCTTCAATGCTCTTTATTTCCTGCACCAAGTTAGACGTAGCCGTGGCAACTTGCTTGGCCAACACAATGAATTCGTTCTTCGCCACCGGATTGTTGGTATTCATGCTGGCTTGACGACATATGGAGCACAAATAACTGGTGTGCTTGGCGATTACCGTTAGTGCAGATATCTTTTGCTGCTTCGTGGACTTGCCGCTGCTAACGATGTCACAGTGCTGGCGAATACCCTGATACGCCCAGGATAATTGCGCCTGATCGATGATGCCGGGCCGTCCAGCTACACTGCTGGGGTGCGAAACGCCTATCAAGTAGGCTGCTTGCGCTGAAGATTCTATCAAGCTGTGTATGGACTCAGCGACAGTGTTCACCGACTGGCCAAAGCCAACGTGATTTGATTGCTTGGCATTGTTAATCATTTCCGAAATGGCATAGCCCAGGTTGCGTGACTTATTTGTCGCATTTTCAACACATTCGAAGTAGCCCTGTTCGTTAATGGGCTCGTGCGGATAGTCGAGCATCACGCGGAGCGCCTCAATATTGCGCATTGCATTGTCGCACTCCTTTTGTCCTGGCGCAGACTGTATACTGGCGTCGACAAGTTTGTTTATGCTTTCGGTGACACTTCGAGCTGCTGCGTGCAAAAGATTCTTGGCATTCGGTTGGCCCGGGTCAGCAGCAATGGACTTGGCTGTAGATAACAGAGAACAAGATTGCGTAGAGACATTGCGCAGGCGATCAATCATTTCGGAGCGCACTATCTCATCCTGCGTCTGGCCAGCCATCTCCATTGAGACAGCTAGTAGATCACGGTAATTTCCGGCGAAGTTTTGGCTACTTTCCGCCAGCTGCGCGGGACTATTGTAGGCTTGCACGATTTGCCCGCCGGCTACACTGAGTCCCTCTGCCACCTGCTTCAGTTCTGTTTGCAACGTGTTGTAGTTACGATCCGTTGGTGGGAATTCACTCATCGAGAGTATCTCACTTAATTCGCTCACATTGCGCAGGGCGTTGTCCACTTCGCGCTGACCCGGTATGCAGTCGACAGTCTTCGAAAGCGCGACTGTAACATCGCGACCAGCCTGGGTCAATGCGTCGGTGCTGCCGACATTTTGCAGCGTGCGCTGTGCTTCCTCAATCAGCCGTGCAGAATGTAAAACTACTTCGTCGGCGCAGTCAATTACGACTGGATTCTTCGTGGTCGCAGCTACACCATGTACACTCTTTGTGAAATCACCGAGCGCCAATGCAGTATCGCGTCCAGCCACGCCTGCATACCGGCGTTGCTCTTGTATAACTGAGGACAAAAGTTGTCTGAGCGCAATGCCCACATTTTTGGCAGATACACGCAATTGCTGGGCAGTATTCTCGACAGTCTCGCCGGGAAGTGGACGAATATTGCCTGACTGTGCTGCCTTGCGAGTGTCATCCAAAACGTTGTGCAGATTGCGTACCGCCTCCAAAGCAGATTCGAGTTCTTGGCCGCCACAGGCTTCACGCGCACGCTGTGCCGCCGAGTTCAACTCGGACACAGTTTGACCAAGGTATAATGCACTCTTCGAAAGTTGAGTGGCCGACGGTATGTCGGTAACTGTAGGCTGTAGAGCACGCGCAGATCGCGAGACTTGAATGGCCGGTTCAATGAATTGCTCGGCAGCTTCTATCAGATTCAGCTGCGCATTTGGATCATCCGGGTTGGAACGAGTTGTCTTCACCGATGTCACGAGTCGTGGAATCGTGTCGGCTGCGCGCTTACAGTCCTGCAGCAGTTGCTCCTTGGTTTGGTGGTCGTCGCTATGCTGCACCGCGTTCTGTGCCGCCGAAATGCACTGAGTAGCAGCCGAAGCAGCCTGCTTGGAGCAGTACTCCAACCGATGTATAAGATTTCGTTTGATGGCCGGCGTATTGGCTGTTGTAGTTGTGATTTCACGTAGCTCTTCTGCAGCGCGTCGCAACGCGTTTTGGTTTTCGGTATTTTGTGGATTACCCGAGCAGAGGCGCGC